GTCTTTCTATTCCATAATCAATAAGGATGAGGAAACTCCTCGTTCAACGACAATAAATCGGATCCGTGTGTATATTTTTTCTCAGATTTCTTTAAGATGGGCTCTCACTGAGCCGTTTAATTAAATTAAAAGCGAAATTGGCTAAATCCTTTTTCCACGTACAGCATGACCGCGTCACATCACGAGATCCTTCTTATCGTTGGTAAAGTCGCGATCAGACTTGTCATTTAATGCGAGAGATACTCTGAATAGCAATATCCATTATCGCGGAATTACACTCGAACGGACACCTCGTTTCATCGTGATCGGATTAGGCTTTATAGGAAGGCACACAACGATGAAAGGTGCGGGTGAAAAAGAAAGAGGGAGATTTCTCAAAAGAGAGGGAGGGGTAGTATTGGCGTCATGGGGATGGCGGAAGTGGTATCGCTTTAATCTGCCACGAGGAAATCTTGTAAATAATCGAAGCAATTATTCGGTTCGGTGGCACGAAGACGGCGGTGATTCCGTAAAGAGACAGGCGAAACTTTTCTATCTTTGCGAAACGTGGAAAAAAGAAAAATGGATACCTAACATCGTCGAGCACGATGACGAATCAGTTAGTAATAGTTGTGTAGTTTAAAAATTCACTTTTCGTGAATCTCGAAAAAGAATCAGAGGCTTGGGCACTCTGAATAATACAACTTAAATACGCATTTAGTCTATGGCTGCATTCCACTTAACGCTTGCAACGCTCGCAAACATCACTTGTTCTTGTTTAACATTTGATAAACAATAGGATGAAATGATTCTCACGAGCGTTAAATGGAACGCAGCCTATGTAGCCTGGCTAAAGTGTAGCTTAAATAGAGATAGCAAATAGAAACTCTATCCTTGATGCGTCGATTATTGATTGAAATTTATGCAGATATAGTCAGAAACAATTTAAGTTGAAAAAATGAAACTGTTGGAGGCTTGAAAATTTCAAGTTGAAATTATTGCTCCCCCCCCCCTCTCTCTAATTTATAATAATAAAATTCCACAGAAGAAGAAAGTGCGCAAAAGAATATGTTTTATGTTTTAAGAAGTAAAAAGCCTTACTATGTGAAATAAAACAATGTGAGAGACTTGAGCCATTTAAATGAATGTTAAAAGAATATCGATTATTTAAATATTAATATTATCAGTAATATTATTATTATTTTAATATTATTTAAAAAATTATTAGTATTCAAGATTATTTTTGTAAGTTATATTTTGAAATAGCATCTCCCACCCTCTCTTTCTTTCTTGCACGGACATAATAGAAACTGTGCGCGCGGTGTATTACAGTTCAGTGGGCCTGGATTAAGACATCGAGGGGACATTATCAAGTAACAACGATCATAATCGATAATTAAAGACGACATCAATTAAATTTGAAGTCTCATATCCAGGCGCTGAAAAAAATATATTCAGCGTGCGAAAGCGCCGCTCGGCTCCGCGAAACATTAAATGACGCTCCGTTTGCATGGCAAGACGCATACCTCACAATTTACTTACATCAAATACCCGGCGATCGCAAGTCGCAAATACCCCGGTCGTGCACACCTACTCGCATTAACAATGTCTCTCCCGCCGGCTCTTTGCTGTTCTCGCAGCCGCTTCCCTAGACAGTGTCGCGTATTCACGTGCAACAATCCCGGATCCTGTAATGTGCCGACGAAAGCTTCCCCTGCATGAATACCCAAGTATGCAAATGTCTTCATGGCGCTAGACGTTTCGCCTCGCCTTCGAGCATCACTCGAGAGTTCTTGTTATTCGGGATTCGCTCTCTCCTTCACGCCACATCGCGCCGCATGAACCTGTTTACGATATTACGCTAATCACACATAATTGGCGAAAAAAAAAAAATAATTGTGCCCGCAATTGTATAGATTATCTCATTAGAACAATCGGATTCGCTAAATAATCATAGTAGTTGTAACTAGATTCTTCCAATTTTTTTTTAAATAATCACGCTGTGATTTCTCCTAGCTGCTAGCATAACAGAACGTGACTTGGAGTTGTCATTGGTTGCATTCAGCAGAAAAAGCAGTTTTGCGACTGTTGTAAGATTCTTTAATGTGATTGACATTCAGAGGAATTAAGAGCAAGAACCAATCATATTAAAGAATCTCACAACAGTTGCAAAGCTATTTTTTCTGCTGAACACAGCCATTTATTTATTTCTACCTCTTTTACACGGCAAGAATGGCTTTGCTGAAATAACTAACAATTTAGTTACATATATATAGACCTGAAAATAATTTTGTTGAACCAATTAAAATAATTAGTAGAACGTTCAAACTAATTGCTAAAATGTCGAAATTTTTTGCAACATTGCTCATTATGTTTGAAATTTTTACATAATTATTTTGATTCAACATAATTATTTTTAGATCCAGCTAACCTTTTAGATAGTTCGGCAAAATCGTTTTGTATAAATATGATTAAATAAAAAATCGTCTTCTTGTTTTACTAATAAAGTTTAATGAGACATATATTTTTTAAGTTTAGCATATCCACTGCTTCGATTATTTTATACATATTTGTCACAAAATGACAAACATTTTATTTGCGACAACGGACTTGGATGAACTTCAAATTTTCCACGAAAGGAGTAGGTTTAGCAACTGGAGCAATGAGACTACTGGGAAGTTGTGCTTTGATTTCGTGGTATTTACGTTGGCGAGGTGTTCTTCGGGCGTTCAGCATCGCAAGAGAAGTGCATACCTCGCGGGAGGCGGCGTTACGCGACGGCATCCCGGATGATGCACATTGGGGAGAGCAGAATCGGATCTTGAAAATCGAGGAAGGGGAAGAGAGAGGGAGAGAGAGAGAGAGAGAGAATCTTCAACAGTCGAGGCACGTCTCACAGGATAGAGGATAGAGGGTTGCGCGCGGACTCCGTCGTCGGAGTGTACAGGGTGTGCGCTCGTGTGGACACGCGTCGCTGTCGTGTGTAACGCATGTGCACACGCCGCACGTGGACCGGGCCGAAATCAACGACAATAGAGGAGAAACGCGCGGCATTCACGTTACGCTCTCGGAGAACGAGAAAAGCGGATAAGCAGCCATACTAACGAGACGATGCGCGCGGAGAGATCACGTCCGGCGCGCGCATTTCCGAAGAGACGAGGAAGGGCCGCGCTTCGGTCGGCGAGGGAAGTGGTGGCAGGGAGGAAGGGATGGAGGAAAAAGGGTTGGAACACGTTGTGGAGTCTGGGGAACGACCGGGGAGAAGAACGTGGAAATCGTAACACATCGGAGGCGCCGCCCGCGCGCGACTCGCCTTCTTTCGATAAAGTAAATAAGAACGTACCGACACGTACGTCGCGTGGTACGTGCGAGGCAATAACAGGCGGGCTTGGACGAATATTTTCTATTGTATTCCCTCTTCTGTTACTTCTTCAACTTCCACGTCGCATCTTTGTCCCGCGCGGCGCGTCATCGCCGCCTTCATCAACGCTGAATCGCGATATCGGCACGTGGATCAGTCGTATTGCGAATTGAGTCGAGAACCGAGATGTTACGAGAAAAGTTTGGGTTTTTTTCCTCGTTACTTCAGAGAGAAAAGAACATTTATAAACTTATAACTTTATAACTTTATTTCACATATAAACAATAATTTTCATTCTATTACCGTTATTAATTGCAAAGATATAATTGGAATTAAAAAAATTGTTATAGTTTCTAGATTTATTGCGAAAATTTCGTTAGAAAATGGAAAAATATAATTTAACATCTAAAAGTGGCTAAACATTATAATGCGATTTGTGATAATTGATTAGTATTGAATTTTTATATTTTAAAATCTTTTTATATAGAATTTTTTTATTATCCTGCTCTCATTATTTTTGATAATTTAAAAATCTCGAAATGAAGACAGGTAAGCTCGTAAATAAGAGGATTATGATTTGAGGCTTACTAAGAAAATTCATTCTTAGCGTCCATCCGACGAAGATCCGCGTTCGGTGGAGACGTCAAGGATGCGAAACAGACCGCGATTCGGAACCGCTATCGAATTCCTGGCTTATGAAGACCCATGCTGATCCCGAGATCTTGAAGCCTAGAATTTCAAGGGTTCCGTTCCAAGGCTTTCGCTCGCGGCCACGATCTCGCAGGGCATCGTAGTCCAAATTGGTACGAAGTGATCCGTGGCAGGTCGTACCGTTCGCGCTTCAACCGTTTCGGATTCCTCGGACGTCCGGGATCACGTTGACTATGCAATTTTGCGGCTTCATACCCGAGAAAGCGCGGGAACCAGAAGCACTCGTCGAAGTCTCCGGATATTCGTATATATTTTACGTGCGGATTCCGACGCGTAATAACGTCCGCGATCTCATTCTATATATATCGTAAAATATTTTTAAATAAGTCAAATTATTATTGTCCTCCGATGAAATTATAACAGTCCCACGCAATTGTTTTACATACATTTATAGATAAACGAGTGTATTAATAATTCTATACTCTATATCTATCAGAAAAATTAATTGACGTCAAATAATCCATAAGTATTATATTTAAAAAATTTTAGACAAAAAAATGTTTAACTATGCAATTTCAAATTTACTATGTAAACGTTGACATTAAAGAGACATGAAAATCATCTAGTTGGATAATCTGTTTACGGCTGACAACGTTCACGGACACTCACGAAACAGGGTGTGCCACAGGAAAGCAGTACCGACACTTTAATAACGCGCTAAACAAAGGGCTAAGTAATTGTGCGAGATGTCACGACCAAGCGTGTCGGACAAGCATGGCGCGACATTGTTGGCCGGTAGGGAAACTGGTAATTAGTCTCAATGTAGCCGCGGCATAAATAAAGCGATCAGATCGTAAGCATGAAATATGATCGGCAACGCGCCGATCTTTTCATCAGTTTATGCGGTGCATGGTACGAGACTACGGGGGATATGTTTACGCGAGAGGGTATAAAGCCTTCGTTTACCTTCGTGTCCTGTGTGACAGGCATAAATGCGGCGGCCGCCACCCGCAGATCCGTAGGTATGGTGAACGGAAGTAATCCCCGTGGCGCCATAAACGCGAGCGTAGATCACCTCACGTGGATAACGCGTCCGGCCGAGGATCGCCTACCAGCCCGAGCGAACGGTGAACATTATGCGCTCGCGCACCAACTCTTTACGAGATTTTGTCTCGTAAAGTATATCAGCTGAGGTCGTTTCTCCTCTTTAACCTGCTAATTCATCCCTTCGCGTTCCATGTGAAAAACATACACGTAAAAGATCCATGAAACGTCATCATTTAAATCAAATTAATTGCGATCCTAGACTTTCGTGCGGCCTATAAGTGATATATAGAGGTAAGCGAATTTGATACCGCCGTCAGTGACCGTACTTGGTTTATTTAAATTGAAATTATATGGCATAGTTAGTCAGGGCTTTTTGAATTTTTGCGTATCGTACAAAAATTAAGGGTACAATTGTCTGACGTATATAGAATATTTTCATTATAATTTATTAACTTATATAACGATTAACGTATAAATTTTGATTATTTCTTCATCTTTGCCATTGCTCTTGCAAATCGTACATCCTTCGAGCGATATAACCATCGTTTCCTTTCGTCTTTGCCTTCAACCGAATTTGAAGGTAGGATATAGTCACTCTATACAATCGTCTAAAGTCATTTTCGTCAAGTTTCCTCTCGCTCCCAATCCCAGTCCACTTCCTCAGACTTCCCTCTGTGGCCAGTTCTGTAGATCTCACTTTCCGGCGATTCCTCCTCTTCCTCACCAGGCCAATTAAATTTCGCGGAATCTTCATCGGTCTCAGATTTCGAGCTCTGTCTGTGGTCTCTTTCGCGCATAGCTCTACTGCACTCTGTCGAGACCGAATCCGTTTCATCCGTCCCGGATCTCGTTGAATTGGTTCTTGCATCTTCCGTGTCAGTACTCCTACCTCTCAGCATCACCGTGGCTTCGACTGATTCGTCGTCAGCGAACGACTCGCTATCCTCGGACTGCGCACCACTGAGCTCGCGTTTGATCGACGGTTCCTTCGCCTTAGTTTCGGATAGCTGCTCCTTGGAATCTTTTATAGTGTACGCCGAAGAGCCTTCCTCCTCCGATCTAGACTTCTGCATCTGCCAGGCTTTCTTAAACGGATGTTCCCGTTCTTGCTGGACCAGCTTGGGCCTTTCTGGCAAGAGGTATTCGGGATCTTCCTCACTCGCTTGGCTCTTTACAATGGATTCTCGTTTGAATAAACCAGTTGGTTTGACGGAAAGATCGCCTTCTTTCTTTACGACGTTCCATCCGGCACTCGCCAAATCCTCTTGCGACAGTTGCGATAAATCTTGTAGGGATTCTCTTTTGCTTCCCTTAGTCAAGATAAAGTTATAGTTGTCTTCCTCTTCCAGAGACGTTTTTTGACTATCACTAGTGTAGGATTGTCTCCTTGAAGTATCCTGACTGCTCTCTTCCTCGCTTAGGCTTTCTTCTCTCGATGGCGGTCCCTGTTCACGGTATTCTCTACGTCGTAAGTACATACCGTCCTCCTCGGGCTCACTTGGTTCCTGAGAAGACCCAAGAAGCGCAATCTGTGGGCCAACGCTGACGGTCCACGAGTCCATGTTATCCTCACCCGAAATATCGTCTCTTAGTAAGGCTATTCTGCCCTCCGCAGAGGATCTACGTTGCAACGGTTCCGCGCTGATCTCGCTCTCCTCAACCAATGACTCGCGCTGTTGAGTAGCCAATTTTTCCATAAACTGTTTCTTACGTATCCTTAATTCGTGTTCCCATTCCTCCTCATCACTCGTTTTTGTTTCAGAACTTGAAACGCGTACCGGCTTCGTTTTTTCCAGAGCTGGTGGCTCCTCCTCGCTCTCAGAAGAGAACCTTCTTCTCGTCGATCTTACGAGGGGTGGTTTCGACTCGTGTTGTTCTCTAACGGTTGAACCTTCCTTTCCGACGAACTCCCAAGAACGATAATCATCCGCCTTGGTTGACGTTCTTCCTCTAGACTCGGATCTCTTAAATTGCCTCGAATCATCCTCGATCTTTTTTCTGCGCTCTTCTTCACTTTCGCTCTCCCTTGACGATAATCTCTTGTTTTCTTTGGTCCTAGATAACGAACGTCTATTGCGCTGAGCTATAGCCTCGTCATGCTGTCGCTGATTTCTGAGAAATTCGATAGTTTCTTCTTCAGAGTCATCTGTTGCATATCTCTGTCTGTTCATGCCTATCTTACGATCCGTGTAACTCTCCGTTTCTCTGAGTGGTTTTTTAGCCGCTTGCTTGACTCGGTCTTTATTTGATATCTCTTCGGAATCACGATCGATGAATGACAATCGCTTTCCATTCATTTTCGTCAGTGTCGGTACGTCTATTTTCTCTTCCGTGTCGTGCGCCTCGAGAGTGGTTGCACCGTGCGCTATATCCTTCTGTCGATCCCACCCGGTGGACACGACTTCATCGTTCTCGAAAACGTTTGCTTGCTCGATCGCGGTTTCGGCCTTTTTATCCTCGCTCACGAGTGTCTTTTTTTCTTCGGAAACTTCGAGCGCCACATCCGTGCTTTCCATTATGACGCTCTTCACCTCCTGCATCGGAAGATCAAAAAGTAACGTCAAAACGACTGACGCGACTATCACTATCGCTACTTCCAGAGGATCAATCTGCAAAGAATAATGTATTCATATATTCTCTATTGTACATCAAGTAACCTTAAACGCAGCTATCTGATTCTGAAACTTGCGTTTGAATTATTTTTCTAATCATATATGTATAACGAGATTCTTCTTTTGAGAGATATTTTATGCAGAAATTGATAGATGACCACATCAAGACGATAATCAAAACAATTTACATTTAGCGTTAAATATGTGATGAAAATGTAAGCTTAATAAATTCACTGTTTTTTTCAAAACGCTGCTTAAAAATATTCTTCGTCTGCATGACTTACTGCTCTATAAAGTTGAAATTCCGTGGAGAATCTCGTGGTCCCAACGTTGTAAAAAAATACTGCGAATTGCGTTAGATACACAGCGTACGATATCCTGCTGAAGATCATGAACCAATAGCTGGAGAGAAATCTATTAACACTGCCTACGAAGTGAATGATTATTGCGTTAGTGCTCCTGTCTATTTACATGCCTATTTGATTGTTGTTACCGCAGCGTTACAACGGACCTCCGTGCCCCGTAAAGCAGGCAAATATTGACCAGCATAGAGCCGCGGCCCATAGCACCGGCCCGATTACTGCATAGTGAGTAGCCTCTTCAGCGTCGTACACGTAGTCGCGCTTGGCCTGACGCCAGGGTGAAAATAACGACCATGAGCCCAAGGTTATCGCGATCAACCAACCCAAGATCACTAACACCTGAAATTAGAACGGTGCCACGATCACGCGCGATTATGATTACGTGCGGGGAGAATACCCTGTGAATCCTGACGTTCTTTCCGGTGTAATGCAACAACACACCGAGGCCGACACCGAAGACGTATGGCGTTGTTCTGTGCAGCGGCAACACGTAAGTTAAATTAGCAGTCTTGTAAAGGCGCTTTAATCTGCAATCAAAAACACCATCAGTCTGCATTATTCGCTCCCGCGTAAGATATTCTATTCTCGAAAAATATCGCATACGAAATCCTATAGTATATATTGTGTATATATTATATTTAGAAAATCTTTGGAGTGAAATCTAGTTCTAAAGAGTAACAAAGAGTGGCAATTGAGCCAGCGTTGAAAAATGTTGGAAAAGACTCACAATTATTAATTTTTAAGAGTGAGATTTCCCTCTTTAGAGTAGATTCCACTCCACAGATTTTGGAGAGTAAATTTTCACATGCGATATAGAGAGATTCAAGAAGGAGCCTAAGATGTACTCACGAAATTCCGTGATAGATGACGATAGACAGATAATTGTTTATTGTCGCTATATAACGAAGAGTAGCAGATAACAAGATGAGAAAGGCCATCAAGAGCATACCGATGATAAGTTTGTATTGTAAGAAAAAGACTAGGATAGGCGCCAAGAGCGACAGTTGCATATCCAAGGCCAATTGATGCGTGTGCGAGGCGCACTGTAAAAGATCGAACCACGATAGATACAATCTATAAATATTTTTTAACTCATCGCTGAGCCATCTACTCACCATCTCTTCAAACGGAAAAAAATTTTGCACATATAATAGAGTTGTCCACGCGTTGTATTTGCAAAGCTCCGCGTTCGCCATGATGACGCTATTCCATTGCGGACCTGAGCCGATGTGTTCCATCACGAACGCGTACCAGAAGACCACCGCGAGCAACGCCGGTGAAAGTCTGAAGAGCATGCCAGTGACGGAACAATCAATGGCTTCAGCAGAAAAAATAGCTCAGTGAACGCTCTGGTTTTTTAATATGATTGGTTCTTGTCTTTAGTTCTTTGCTGAATATATAGTAGAAACTAATCGTAATAAAGAATCACTGAGCGTTCATTGAGTTGTTTTTTTTTGCCGAATGCAGCTAATAAAATTTTTTTTCTTGCATTTGATCTGAAACAACTATTGAGGACTCCTTTCTCATTGGGATTAAAATACCTGATAAATCTGGCAACGAAACGGCAAAACCAGCGAATTTCACCACGAGTCTTCAGTTCCTTCGCCATGTTGTAAGCTGTGAGAACACCGCTTAGCAGCAGAAACGTGTCCGTGTAAACTAACGCCACTCGCAGAATAGAGCTGACTGGACTGTTGGCGATCTGTTTAAGTAAAGAATTAATGATGCGATATGTCATTCTAATATAAAGACTCTATTCAACAATTTCACCTCGGTAAAAGAAATGCGGTTGCTAAACGGTATTCGGGGAATTGTCATAAGCTGATGGCCAACATAAAGAATGATCATAGCCAACGTTCTTATTCCATAGATACACGTAATATCCGCAGCATCCGTCGCTTCCTTCAATAAGGCTTTAATCGTCCTTCGTAAGGAAAATGACATGATTATCCTCTCAGAATAATTTCCTGCGAAGGAGATGCATGCATTATGCCATAATCGCAGCTGTATTGAAATATTCCGGCGAGCTTAATTTCAGCTTTGTAAAAGATTCATTTATCGAGACTCACGTACCTTTCCCTCGCGTCTCCACGAAGTAATCCCTCACAGTCGCTATAATAACGAGACAAATAATCATAGCGTAAAAATACCTACAAAATAAATTAACAACATGCATTTATCAATTGCGTTATTTCGTGATGTAATAAAGAGATACGTACAAAACACCGATCGTCTCTTTCGAATAGGTCTGTGACTTTTGTTTGACGTAACACATATTAGGATCGACGTTCACCGTAAATTTAATTCCAACAGTTCCATTGTAATCTTTTAAAGTACTTTCTAACGCATATTCAGCGTCCTTAGCGGAACACGCCGCGGGTAGACACAGCGCCCAATTAAATGAAGTGAATTTTGGAACGAAATGACCTGGCTGAAATATTAGATTGTTGGAAAGTTACTAATTCAAAGATACGACTTACATAATTACGTTAATTATGTTTAAGTTTAATTTCTTTTTTATGTTCGAATTTAAAGATTATTTTAAAACTTTCTACTTAAAAAATTTACTGTAAAACGAATAAAAAAAAACACTATTAAGTTTTTTAGATTTCTATTACCTATCTATCTTCTTTAACCTTCACACGAAATACAGACAATATAGAAATTTTCATATTAATTTAATATAATTTTGGCAACATTTCTCTTACGTCGTGCATATTTCCTCGTATAAAAGCACGGGCCTGCATTAGATGGACTGGCAGTCTCATGTCTGAATGGGTTGCATGCAGGTCCACAGTTGCCAAGCAATATTTCCCTTGAATTCTTATCGTCTTCTCGTCCACTTTAACATGCGCCAGCACACCCAAACATTGATCGTAATCCCCGAGCTGATTCACGTTTCCTCGTAACAAGCCTGACGGAATCTTTGCGCTCGAATCTAACACTATAAACAAGATAGATTTTTGGTTCAATGAAATTGAACTGATGCAATTTTTCAAGATCAGAACATTCAGGTTGTACAAATCGGAAACTTCGATTAAAGAATTTTAACAATTCAATAACAATGCCTACATATCCTTTTAAAAACATTTTTTAGCACTTGTCTTCTAGTTGGAGTAATCACAACAGAGACACTATCGTATCTCCAGATAACTTTAGTTTTTCAATGAAAATAGAATGAACGGTTATTTTGGTCAATCGACTCACTCACTTTGGAGCGCCCACAACTTGTAACCTCTCAATTGTCGCAGAAATATCTTGCCATGTTGCTGACATTCCGAATTTTCAACGTTCGTAAAATTTGGCACGAAAGTCGGCACACGCAGAATTGCATCATTCACTTCGGACAATGTAATAGACGCATCTGTATGTTCCTTCGTTTTCGGCTTCGTTTCTTGCTCTAAAAAATATCGCCTGATTACATATAATGAATTGCGAAATTTTTTCACGGACTCAATGTCTGTAATTTATTTTTTTTTTGTATATTTATTTGTTTTATTTAAAGATAAAAATACAGCTGAAAAACAAAAAGATAAAAATTGTGCTCTTAAGATAAAACAATAAGTAATAATTAAATAACAGATGATTGAGAGCAATAATACCGCTTGTGTTACAATTTACAATTTATGTTTTTAATTTCCTTATATTGATTTACAAAACAGATATTTTGACCTTCATTCGAGTCTTTATCTGCAGCGATATCCAAGCAGAAATTCATTAATTGGTGCAAAGAGTAGCTGTGATAGAATCAGTCCCAAAATCTTTTATTATTTTTCTGTACTTGGTTCAATCTGGTCGACAATTTCTTAATTTATAATTATATATTACTTTTGTGATACATCCGTACATTATGTTTAACATGCAATCATAGTTTGCAGTGGCGCTCATTTAGTCTAACAACTAATTGACAATTAAACTCTTCAAGTATGGTAATTGAAAGGCTCTTTCTGCTACATTCTGAAACTGATTCTATTGCGGCTACCAATTAATGGATTTCACTGCCTGGACATTGCTAATGATGGCTCGAATGGAGCTTAAACGTCCGTTTTGTAAATGAATATAAGGAAGTTAAAAATATCAATTGTAAATTATAACGCTCGAATTACCGCGGTATTACTGCTCTCAATCGCCCATTATTTAATTATTACTTAAATATCATCTTCAATAGATCATTTTCCAAAAAAACTGTATTTAAAGAGGAAAACCGTTTAATTTATCCTCAAAGCCATTCAGAAAGAAACAATGCGGAATTTCTACGCGCAAGAGAAACTTAAAGCGAAGAAAAGATTACACGATCGTTGGATATCATATTTTTTAGATTATTATTTAAGATACTACTGCCAATGCAATGTCTATTCACGTGGCAACACTAAACATTGTTGGATAAACTCGCTTTTCGTATCGAACCGTTTTTACATAATACTCACTCTCCGCTTGCGAAACTTCCTTCGACGGTTTCGAAGTTGGTTTCGCTGTTACTTTTTTGACATCCGCCTTCTCCGGTTGTTTCGCTTGCTCCTTAATTTTCGGTGCAGGTGTTGAAGTTTCCGGTTTCACTCGCGTCTTCGATTTTTCGTCTACCTTCGTTGCAGTTTCAGGCACCTCAGCCTTAGGCTTAGGAATAGCCTTAACTGATTCAACTTTTTTCGTACCTTCAGTTAATTTCTTGGCACTTTCGACTGATTTCTTCGTGCTGTCGGTGGATTCTTTCGTACTTTCGACTGATTCAATTTTCCTTGTGCTTTCGGTCGTCTTTTTCACGCTCTCTGCTTTCATCGCTGATTTCGCGACATCGACTGGCTTTTTGTCGTCTTGTTTTGGTTTTTCCATATCGCGTTTGCTTTGTAAAATAGTTGTCTTTATTTTATCTTTATCAGCGAGTCTCACTTTCTCCAATTTTCTAGGTCCTGGAGTGGTTTCTTTTACATCAGGTTCTTTATCTTCATCTTCGTCTTCGTCTTCTTTTTTATGTGGTGCACTAAATTTTTTTTTAAGTGATTCTATTACTTTTCGTTGATCTGCCCTGGCTGCTTTTTTTTCTTCTTTATCATCTTCCTCTTCCTTATCGTCGTCATCATCAGCTTTACTTTTAGCGTATTTTATTGGTTTAACAATCTTTGTGGTTTTAATTTCTTTCATTTGTTTCTTTGAGTCTTTTTTGAAAGATTTTTTATAATCATTTTTATCCTCATCTTCATCTTCATCATCGTCTTCTTCATTTTCATCATCTTCTTCATCTTCTTCATCTTCATCATTTTCGTCTTCATCATCATTATCTTCACTCTTATCATCATCGTCGTCAGTAGGAAACTTTTTTTTTACTTTCTTCTCCTTATCTTTAGCATCCTGATCTGATAGCTCAGCTTCCGATGCTTCTTTTTCTTCATCATCTGTCTTTTCATCCGCCTGATCCCTTTCGGAATCCCCCACCGATTCCTCATCCTCCTCCACGCTTTCCACTTCTACAACTACCTCTTCCTCCTCTTCGTCGTCATCTATCTCGTCACTTTCTATCCTGGAGCTTCTCGGAAGTCTAGTCGCACCCCTGTCTCTCGGATGTTCAGTGATCTTCTCCATTCGAATTCTCCCCGTTCCGATGTCTGAAGTTAGTTCAGCAGGTGGTTTCCGGTCACCAGCGATGGTCCGCGGCACTGTGCCCTCGTGCCATTTCCGGGTCGAGATCGGTCCTCCGGTCGTCACCGTTCTCTCCGTTGGACAGATTCTGCCGTGCGTCGAGACGCAGACGGTCGGATGCTGCGTCTGCGGCACAATGTCACGTATCCGGAAGCCATAGCAGGTGGCGTAGAGCAGCACGATGAGAGCCAGCAGCGCGACGCACTTGCCCAGAAGGGCGATAGCCATGACAGGGCAGCCTTTACATGGAAGAGGTGAGGACTGGACGTTGTTCGCAAAGTTCGACCCACTGTTTGTCGTTGATGCCTATTGCTTGACGGGTGAGTGATTTTCCTTTCCAAAAAAACCGTTCAAAATGAACGGCTACACGTCTTTTCACCTGCGGCTTCTCCACCTTCTTCGAGTCCTCCACTTCCTGTTTCGCTATCACGAAGAATTCGTAAAATATATCGATAATCTGTCGCGCTGATCGCCCTCCGACGTGGCAGACCCCGGGCCACCACGTCCACAGCCGGCCGTGCTTTCGCGGAAATTAGAGCGTATGGCATCGGCCC